ACAGCCCAAAGTATATTTTAAGAGAATATAACGTACATGAGTCAGATGAGTGTGCGCAATACATATCTCATATCATCAGTGTCGGAACAGATAAGCACATACAGTGCTATCACATAGGAAATAACAATATACACACCAAGTGCATTCAGATCAGAATATATATATACTAGTGTACACTCTGGTACACCACAGTTTATCAGAATCAGAACAGATAATAACTCCACATCATGACATGTCAATTGTACCTTTGACTCTCAATATAACATACAATGGGCTTTCAATTTATTTCATAATCATTTGATAAAAATCATATCATAATCAGAAATATATTTAAATCACATTCGTAAAACATCACATAGGTAGTTCATACCCAAGATCGTTCGTAAAACTTATTAAAGTATTACAAATATATTTCCAAAATCAAAACATAATTTATATCTTTGAAAATAAACGAGGTTGACTTATCACAAATCATCCTCAATCATAATAATTAAATAAATAAACTGCACCCACCTTTGCCTCACTATAGAACTTGTATACAATAATCCTAGTCACGAGCTTTGTCCTTTCCTTTCAGATCTTTCGGATTGCTAGTTTTATTGTAATATGACAATACCAAATTATAACACAAAATGTTCAAACTACATATAAGTATCGTTCTAACATAAGATCATTTTAACATTTGAAAATCTATAAAATAAAATCGATAACCAAATCGATATCAACCTAACTCATAACTCCATTATAACTTCAAACTTTTTGAAACACTTATTCAATTCCATAAATAATTATTCCCAACATGATTTTTCAACTTTTACCAATTATAAAATCAAACCACATATTTTAAATTCTTTCTAGAATTCAACTTAACTTTTCCTTTGATTTCATAATAGCTTTTCACTATTATGATCATTTCCCATTAAATATATAAAATTTCCAGCAACTAAAATAAAAGTTTAAATCAATACTTCAACACTCAAAATCTTACAATTTCATCCTAAACTTTCTTAAACTTTTCAATTTCAACCTTACAACTTGATAAACTTGAAATTTAATCCCAACTTAATACTTAAACTCCAAAATCAGCACACTTTCCAGAATTTCAAGAATTATTCTAACTCACCCAAATGGTACTTTTACATTTAAAAATTAACACCCAAGTCCCACTATTATCAAGGCTTTTCGAATTCCAACCTAAAAATTTCAAATTTTGTAATTTAGCTCCAATCAACTTTCCAAATTAATTTTCCAGCATTTCAAGTACCAAAAATCAGCATTGAACCTTTCAAAAACTACATTCTTGCAATAAAGTCTCACAATTCTCAAAACTTGGAAACTACCTCTTTTTCTTATCTATGCTTCCAAATTGATCCAAATGAACTCCCAAATCACATAGAATACTTCTAATATCATTTCTAGACCATAGGAAATTTTTCAATATTTCCCCCTAATTTTCCTTGTTTTCCCGAATATATCTAATGAAAAAGGGCAAATATTCCATTCAATTTCAAGCATGAATTCATCTTCCTTGCATCATTTTCATGCTACTTTAACCATAACAATATCAAGTTGAATCCAAATCCTAACACTTCCATAAACCCTAATTAAGCCAAACCTTATTTATGCATGTACAATTAATTTTAATTATCACACATGCTTTAAAAATAATCACTATCACCAAAAACATAAAAATCCTTCATCAATTCTTCAAGATCACTAAACCTCCTTAAACCCTAATCATGAAATCTCATCCCATAATCATGTTCATCATGAAATATTGGTACCAAATGATAGAGAATTTCATGTAGATTAATTCTCTATCTAATAACTAAATTCAAAATTAAATAAATAGCTTCAAAATTCAAAATAAAAATATTTACCTTGCAAGCTTGAAGGTTTCGGCCCTTGGAGGAAGAAGAAGGTGCAAATGTTCAACAATTCTGAATATTCTAATGTTAAATAAATCCTAACACATGGCTTAATATAATATAATGGAATTTTTTTATTCAGTTAATAGGAAAATCCATTTTTACCATTAATGAAACTTAAAAATGACCAATTGCCATTTTTATTTTCTCCATTAAAATATTCCTTGGTCAAAGATGAATCAACTTTACTTTGAATTTCAAATTTAGCATTGCAATAATTGAAAATTGCATTTTAGTCACTAAAATTCAACTGTTCGCTCAAATCTGAAAATTGCACTATTCTGAGCCAATTTCTATGATCTAATATATTAAAATAATATTTACAACCATTTTATAACCTCCTTCAAATTTTCATAAAATTCTGATTCGATCCGAATATCCAATTTCAATATCAAACTTTACTGCTTTATAGCTTTTAACATAATTCCCGTATCAAAAATCTGATTCCCACTAAAATCTTTGTTTAATTTAAACTGTTCATTTACAGGCTAAAATATATAACTACTAAAAAAAATTACAATTTTGGTCCCTATACCTTTCAAAGTTTATACTTTAGCTACTAAACTTTCAAAATTTACATTTTAATCATTAGACAAAATTTGTTGTATTACAATTGACCTGACTAAAAATCAACTGATTCAATATTGATCTGAACCGAAAATCAACTGAATTGATAATTACCCGATCCGATCCGATATACCGTACACCCGAACTAGATCCGAACCAGATCAGAACAAAATTAAATCGAATTTAATATAGACCCAAAATTACCTGACCCGAAATGACCTGACCCAAACCCGATCCAAATGACCCGTTTGCCACCTTTATTAATGAGTTGAGTCGTTTATGAGCAGTTTGAAATTTATTTGATTTAAATTCAGTCAAAACTTAATTTAGGTTGATTTGATTTGAATTTGAGTTCGATTTGATATTTAACGAGTTAAACCGAGTAAAGTCCAATTTGACTCGAAATGTTCACGAGTAATTCGTTAATGTTTTAAATAAATTTTTTAAGTTGTTAATGTTTTAAATAAATTTTTTAAGTTGTTATCTTAAAAAATTATTCAATTGAAAAAAATACTAATTTACTAATAAATAATAAAAAAGATGATAAATATTAATCTATTAATTTTCTAATAAACAAAAAAAATTATTAATTAATAATTTGTTTTATTAGACACAAAAATCAATCTTTGTTTATTATTTTAATATATTTGTGAAACATTACTATGAACTTTAGACTTTGAAATCACTTCACACATTTTTTTTATCATTTTTTGATTTAATTTATTAATTTATATCTATATGATGCTATTTACCGTATTAGTAGATTTTACCAATAGTTAAAACAAGATAAAAATTTTGATGAGCTTGATGAGCTTAATGAGCAATGAGTCGTGCAACAATTTTTTTAACGAGCAAGAGTCGAGCAAAATTTGAACGAACTTAACGAGTTATGAGTCAAGTTAAGAAACAAAAAATTTTAACGAACACAAGTTAAACATTGTTCAACTCGCGATCGACTCACTCGATAAGCATCCCTAGCTGAAACAAAGAGCAAAGACGGACGTATGATTTAATGTGGGAGGCAAACTTGAATTTAGGGGACGAGCTTAAATTTATAAAAATATAAAAAGCAAAAATAGATTTAAAAAAATATTTAAAAAATCAAATATATAATATTTTTAAATTTTCAAATACACTGCCCTCACCACTTGCCACTCGCTCCATCCCTAATGAAGAGCTTTGGTAAAGTCTTCCTCCTGGTTGGCCGAAATGAGTTATGGTTCAAAATTAAATATTTTTAGTGTTATTTTAATTAAAAAAATTAATAGGATATTATTTTAATAAAATTGTCTAAAAGTTCAAATAAAATAAGTTCAAATACAATATTGGCTTAAGTATAAAATAAGTGACTAAACTATACTTATTTTCACCAATAGGTACCTATAATTTTTTTGGCCTATCTAAGTGTCTAACGTTACAAACGTTACCCATTTAAGTGCTCGGGTCATCAACATTGTTAATTTTTTCCGCTAAGTGATACGTGTCACAATCTGATATTTTTGAAATTTATTTTTTTAAATTATTAAAATTATTATTATATTTATAAAAAACTAATTTCTCTTAAATTATAAAATAGCCCCCAAATCTCCAAATCCTACCCTTAATCCACCGTCGCCCCCTTTTTGACCACGATCACCGCCTCCGTCGTAGTCCTTGCTATCCTCCTAGTCATATGCTGTCGTATTTTCTGTCGATTGTTTGTGTGATCGCGATTTTTAACCTGGGGTTCGAGGGCTATAAAATATCGATTCATCGATCACGTTTTCATATGGGTTTTGATCGTCGGAGGGAGGTGAGGTTGGGTGGAGCTTCGTCGACGGGAAATGGTGGTGGTCAGTGTGGGTTTAGGGGTTGAAATGAAGATTTTTAAAATTTTGGGTTTATTGCAAAATTTATGTGTTTTATTTTTAAAAAATATATAATTTTATGTTTTAAATTTTATACAAAATATTTAAAATCATCATATTGTGACACATGTCACTTAACGGGAAAAATTAACGTCGTTGACGGCCTGAACACTTAAATATGTAACGTTTATAACGTTAAACGCCTAAATAGACAAAAAAATACTATAAGCATATATTCGTGAAAATAACTATAATTTAGACAATTATTTTATACTTAAACCTAAAATATTTTAATAAAAAGTTTAATAGGATATTATTTTAATAAAAATGTCTAAAAGTTCAAATAAATGAGACGGTTTTTACATTTCCACGTATTGGTATAATATTCGCCCGATTGTATCATTCACGAATGTCTTCGTCAAAATCCTACGGCAGTTATTCCTCGAATCTATAAAACGTACGTACACTCTTTTTACGACTGCTCCATTCTCGGGTTCAGGTTTTCCTCCAAGCCTACAGCTTCGGATTTCCAAACCTATCAACGTTCCAGATTAAAACCGTACCACTAAGCGGTTCAAATCAGATCTAAGGTGCAGATTTTCTATCAAGCTAGAGGGTTTAAAGAGACATAAGAGAAGAGTAGAACACACTTAAGATTTCATTTCTGGAGTTTCCTTTTGGATCTTAAAATTCGTTTGAGATAAAATGGCTGAGCACGAAGAGAAGCACGAGAAATCGTTGTTGGATAAGATATCGGAGAAAATCAAAGGTGATTCATCGTCGTCGTCGTCGTCGGATTCCGATGACGACAAGCCATCGGAATCATCGATGAAGGCCAAAGTCTTCCGTCTCTTTGGAAGAGAAAGGACCGTCCACCACGTTCTCGGAGGAGGCAAACGTATGTTAAAAAAAAAAACTTTTCTTCGCTCCTTAAATTTGTTCACTTAATTTTTCAGTTCTTTTTCAAGTCTGGGTTTTTTGAAGTTCCTGATTTCCGTTATGAATCGGTTAAATTCCATTTTTTTAAAAAAATCGGTGATCGTTAAAGAGATGGATCTTACTCAATGATTTAGATCGAGCTTTTGTGTATTTAACTGGTGTTCTTTGAGCTGAATTATGGTTTTTGATCTGTTAATATCTGTTTTAGCATGAAAGTAAGTTAGGGAAGTTCGAGATCTTCAATTGAATGATGCGAATAGTTCTACTGAATTTTACTTTATTGCTTTGTTAGAGTGGACGGGGTCTGTTATTATCTTATTTTATCAGTAGCTTCAGAACATGGTTGATTATATCAATAATCTTCCCCGATAATAATTTTATAGCTTTTAATTGATTATAATCAGTAACTATTACCTTCCGTTGATAATTGTTGTAATGCATGCTTATAATTGGGTGTATGTGTAATAGAGGCTGATATTTTCCTGTGGAGGAACAAAAAGGTTTCGGCCGGAGCGCTAGGTGTTGCAACTGTGATATGGGTTTTGTTTGAATTATTCGAATACCACCTTCTTACACTAGTGTGTCACTTGTTGATACTTGCTCTCGCACTTCTGTTCTTGTGGTCAAATGCTACTACCTTCATTCACAAGTAAGCTGTTGAATTTATTCTCTAATTTTGGGGCTACGTTCGGATTCGGGTTTCTTTTGTCTGGACATAATGACGAATTGTTTTGAGTAGGTCTCCACCACGAATTCCTGAAATTCAAATTCCTAAAGACCCGGTTTTAGAGTTTGCGGAGGCACTTAGGTTTGAGATTAACCAGGCTCTTGCCGTCCTGCGGGATATTGCATCAGGAAGGAATCTTAAGAAGTTCCTCTCTGTATGTTCTATTACTTTTTTTTATTTTTATTGCGCTGAATAGTTTTCTTGTAGATTATTTGGAATTGTTCATTAAACTAGGAATTAAGATAGTGATGCAATGGTTACATTCCCAATCATTTCATCTATTTGAAGATTCTCAAGTATTTTATGACTTAACGAGTTATTTGACTATCATATTGGATTGGCACCGCTGTTGTTCAGGTGATTGCTGGCTTGTGGGTCTTGTCTATTGTTGGAAATCGGTGCAACTTCTTGACACTGTTCTACATAGGTATACGACTTAACTTCAAAACCTTTGCTTTCATTCCCTCAAACTCATTTTTGTTTCCTGATTTTTTTTAATGGTTTTGCAAAATAGTCTTTGTTCTACTACACACTGTGCCTGTGCTGTATGAGAAGTATGAAGACAAGGTGGATCCATTTGCTGAGAAAGCATGGCATGAGATCAGGAAGCAGTATGCAGTGTTCGATTTGAAAGTCCTAACGAAGATTCCCAGGGGACCATTGAAGGAGAAGAAGAAAGATTAGGTTGCTGTTGCTAGGCTTTGACATACATTTGCTAGCTGTGTTTGCGAAGGTAGTGTTAAAATTTATCCAGTATGGTCACAATTTGTTGAATATGTGATCTCTCTTTACTACACACATGGAAGCCTTCTATGTTATCATATTGTATGTTGTGGAATAGTGTGTTGTACATTGGGTTGAAGGTTGCTCTCAACTTGTTATTGGATCTCTCTCTGAATGATTCACTTTTGCTTTATGTTGGGGCCGAGGCTTTGATTGATTCATGATCGTTTTAACATTTGTTTATATTGAGAAAACAATAGCAGACATATGTTTGATATTAAATGAGGAAGATGCTCAGGTGGAATTTTCTTGGAAAGAGGAGTAAAAACTTGGTTTGCACTAGGTATTTGGAAATCGAAGGGGAATCACCATGAAGATAATTGATAAATGGTGGCCATATGGGATATGGCAACCTAAAACACATGCGTTATCTATGCCCTGAGCGTACATTCTTTTTAGTATCTACGAGCTTATTTTAAAAAAGTGAGCCTTAAAGTATCAAAGTAACTCAGTAACAAATGAACAAACAAAACCAAGTTTGCATTCTTTCATTTATTTGTAAATCCATGCTTTTACAGTGATGACTCAAGTCTCTTTCATACACAAAGAAGAGGGAAATATAAATGGCGGGAAAGGACGTTAGGGGAGAGAGAGTTTGTTAAAGCCAAACAACTCTAACCACCTTATGTACTTCACACATGTATGAGATACATGCATACGAGATACACTAACATTCCCCTTGTTACTCCAAACTTCATTATGCAAACTTCCTTACTGCATAGACATTAACATTTCCCTTAATGCTCCAATCTTTAAAACTTTTAACCTCCACAATTAAGTTGAACAATCAACATTTTCTACCTATGCTTCACAAATTAAGGTGCAGACAGTGGCTTTGTTAGTATGTCTGCAACTTGTTCATATGCAGGAACCTCATGAACCTGTAACTTCCCCGCTGCAATCATTTTGCGAACAAAAATGAGATTAAGTTCCACATGCTTGAATTTAGAGTATAAAATAGGATTGGCACAAACTGCAACTGCATTTGAGTTGTCACACCACAAAGTAGGTTTACAATGAGAAACAATATGCAGTTCACTCAACAAAGATTCAAGTCACACCATTTCAGTAGTTGCACATACAACACTTCGATATTCTGCTTCAGCTGTTGATCAAGCCACAACTTGTTATTTTTTAGAGCTCTATGAAACTAGATTTCTTCCAAAGTAAATGCAATATCTAGATGTAGAACGTATATCATCAACATATGCTCCCCAACTTGCATCATCAAAACTCGTTAAAGAAAGTCGAGAAGAAACCAAAGTCAATCGTTCCTTGTAAGTATCTTAAAATACGTTTCACTGCTTGAAAGTGAGTTTCAAAAGGAGCTTGCATAAATTGACACATACGATTCACAGCAAAAGCAATATCTGGGCGAGTGATAACAACATATTGTAATGCTCCAAAAAAACAGCGATATTGAGTAACTTTCTCAACAGGATTTCCATCCTTAGCTGAAAGCTTACAATTGGTAACCATGGGTGTAGGAAGGCCATTTGCATTTTCAAACCCATTGCGATGTAACATCTAATGAATATATTTCTACTGACTCAATACAACACCACCAGATTCATAACTAACTTCAATTCTTAAGAAGAAATTGAGAGTACCCAGATCTTTTAGAGCAAACTTTTCATGCTACTTGTCAATGACCAACTGTACATCACTTGCTTTATTACTAGTGAGAATTATATCATCAACATATACAAGTAAATACATCAAACAATCCTCCATCTTTCGAACAAAAAGAGAAGAATCAGACTTAGCTACCACAAAGCCTTTAGATTCTAGATAGCTCCTTAAACTCTCAAACCAAGCACGTGGTGCCTGTTTTAAACCATATATGACCTTATGTAACTTGAAAACCAGTTTATCATCACCAAACTCAAAACCAGGAGGCTGAGTCATATAGACTTCTTCTTCAAGCACTCCATTTAGAAAAGCATTATTAATGTCAACCTGTCTAAGATGCCACCCTTTTGACAAAGCCATTGTCAAAATGACACGAACAATTACTGGTTTAACAACATCACTAAACACCTCATGGAAGTCAATACATGGTTGCTGAAGGAAACCTTTTGCTACTAATCTTGCTTTATAATGAGTAATCGAGACATCTACATTTCTCTTGATTTTGAACAACCATTTACAATTTACTACTCTCCTATCATCTGGTAATGACACTAGAGACCAAGTTTTATTTTTCATCAAAGCCTCATACTCTTCCTGAACAACAACCTTCCAATGTGGACTAGCCAACGCTTGTTTGATGCTATATGGTTCTTCATCAATCCAAGCAGTAGCTTGAAATATTTTTGGTTTTGAAATACCACTCTTACTCCTTGTTTTCATTGGGTGAGTATTTATTGTAGAGCTGCAATCAACTCCCACAACCTGTTGTGGTAAAGTTATCTCAATTGGAATATCAGTAGAGCTGAACACTGTTTAAGCAGCTCCTTGATTGTTTGCTTCATGAACAAGTTGACTACCAACACTTTCCTCATTTTCCATACTATTTTACAGGTGACATTATTTTCAAGAGTAACTCGGCCATCACACCCTTGTTGAGTTTGAACTCGTGGTGCAAAAAAATGCGCAGCTCCCAAATTGAAACATGTGAATCTACATAATCTTGATTTGTCAACTTGCATGCTTCATAAGGAAATTTTCCCTCATAAAAAATCGCATGTCTCAAAACAAACATCCTACCATCATCATCTATACACCGATATCCTTTCTGTGATGGACTGTATCCAAGAAAAACACACTGCTTAGATCGATATTCAAGTTTGTGATGATTAAATGATCTCACCAAAGGAAAACATGCACAACCAAACACCCTTAACATTGAGTAATAAGGAGGTTGTTGATGAAAAAACTCAAATGGTGACTTTCCATGTAACACTCCTATAGGCAATCGGTTTATAAGATACACAACTGAGGTGAATGCATAACTACAGAACTTTAAAGGCAAGGAAGCTTGAGACAACAATGCCATCCCCATTTCAACCACATGACGATGCTTTTGTTCAACTTTTCCATTTTGTTTAGATGTGCTTGGACAAGAGAGTCAATGCTGAACTCCATTGGTCAGAAACCATCCTTTTAGAGCCTGATACTCTCCACCACCATCACTCTGTAATATTTTAATCTTGACTCCAAACTGAACCTCGATAAGTTTGTAAAAGTTGAGAAAACATTGCATAACTTATAATTATATTTTAATCAAGTAAAGCCATATAAATCTACTGTACACATCAATAAAGGACACATAGTAGGCAAATCCATCACTAGAAACAATTGGTGTTGGTCCCCATACATCATAAACAACTAATTGGAAAGGGGCAATGTACTCATTAACTGAATTAGTAAATGGAAGCTTGTGAGCTTTACTTTGTAAACAAGCATTGCAAACAGAAGACAATGAACTTTCATTAGAAGCAATATTACATGATTTCATTATTGTTTTTACTATACTAACAGTCGAATGCCCTAATCTTTTATTCCATAAGTCTAATAGAAAACAAGACTTTGACAAATTATTTAGTTGCTTTTTCTTCATAGTAGGTGACAGAAGCTGATATAAACCTTTATTCGTGAGCTTCTCGTTCAACAATACAATCTGTGTCCGAGCATCATTCACAAAACATTCAAATGGATGGAATTCAATAAAGACATTATTATCCTGAGTAAATTGGGAAACAAATAATAAGTTTTTCTTAATATCAGGCACATACAAAACATTTTGCAAAACCAACTGCTTTGTTTTAGATGGCAAACAACTTTGACCAATATGTGAGATTTTAACACCTTCCTCATTTCCCATATGAAGGCAATGATTACATGTATAAGTCATACCAGTATTAAGTAGAGACACATCATTTGCAACATGATGTGATGCCTCCGTATCTGGATACCATACTGGATCAGCACTACCAGTTGACACAACCGGTCGAGGCGAGTGAGTAGTATAGACAAAGGAAGCTGAAGGATTCACAAATCCTTGTGAACTCTTAACTGAATCCAAACTACCATACACTGGCATTGGAGAGTACCATGGAACCCTCTGATAGAAAGATCCTGGACTAGGCATCATGAAATGAGGATTAGAATAATAAAATCCACGAGGAAATGAAAAAGATGTACTCAACGAGGGAAAATGAGAACTCATTGTATGAGTAAATGCAAGAGAATTTGAAAGTAACTGTTGATTTCCTGTAGAAACTTGTGATGGCCTCTACACTTCACTGCTTCGACTGTCAGTGAAAAAACCTGTAAAATTCCTATCAAATCGATGATAACATTTTTGTACTGTATAACCAAATTTGCCACAGAGCTGACATTTAGGACGATTTGAATTATCAAAATGACCTCGATCACGTCCACGATAACTATCACTAGACTGACCTCGCATATCACCATCTTGCTTTGTAGTAACAGTGGTCTCAGAAAACTCAGAATCATGCACCTTAGTATCACCAATAGACCTAGAAACCAAGTTGGCTGAAATTCCTTCAGTGAGAATGCCTTGTGTCGTGTTTCACAATCAAGCAACATTTCAGTGAGCACATCTAAGGACAAACTATCTCGAGAAGCAATTGTAATAACATATTCAAATTCCATGGATAAACCGGCAAGGATTACACTGACTTGCTCATGTTCAGTGATCGAACTTCCTGTAGCACAAACATATCACAGATGGACTTGACCTTGGCAAGAAATTCATTCACCAACTATCCAACTTTGTGTTGAGAGTGAAGACTATGCCGAAGAGACGATACCTTGGCATTTAATCGAGCACCAAACAATCGTGCAATAGTAGTCCAAATAGTATTAGCAGAAGTGAGTCCAGTAAGATATGATAAGACTTCAGTGCTAACAGTAGTAAGCAACCATGATGCTAACAACTTATCTTATTGTTAATAAAGTTTGAACGTCGGATAGTCCTCAACATGACCAGACTCCGTCGTTATAACTGCCACAAGAGGCCCACCTTCATCCAAAATGAACCGAAGCAAGCCATAACCATCAATAATGAGATATACCTGATGCTTCCATAGTAAATAAGTATTCTCAAAAAGCTTGACCACATCATGTTTGGAATATGCTGAACTGAGGAGATCTCCATCGT